TTTCCTCCAACTCATAAAACATGGAATGCAACTGCTGCCTTTTGAAACTGTAGAATGGGGAAGCCCATCTCCCTCACAGCGAGGACACAGAATTCCCCAGCCCTCAACTGCACGGAAAAAGCACCAGGCTCCCGAGTTCTTACACCTCCATGGTGTTCCCCCAGGAGTTAGATTTTTTTTTTTCCCTGCCATTCCCACCTCAGTGCTGCTGTTCGTGCTACAAAACTCATCCCCCTGTACATTCAGGGCAACCTGAATTGTTGTTGTTTGTTGTTTGCATTTTACGCAGTGGTTTGGAGGGATCTGTGGCATCCACAAAACACTCAGAGCAAAATACTCACAGATCCCTGTTTTAGGCTCAAATATCCAAATAATTGTCGGAGTATCCAGATTATCATTAGCACTCAATCAGTATTATTGGGGGGTTTTTTTGTTTGTTTGGGTTTTTTTGTTTGTTTGGTTGGGTTTTTTGGGGTTTTTTTTTGTTCCTCAGCAACACTGGGATTTCCAATTGCAAATTTCTCTTAAGGTGAATCATCTGCCTGTTGTTGTTTTGGGATCCTGCCCTTTCTAACTGTTTACTCTTGATTTTGTGGCAGCTGTCACAGTTAAGAACAATGGAGCATGCAACGGCACAAGGAGGTGTTTTTTGTGTTTTGTTTTTCCTAGGGATTGCAGCAAAAGGCTGATCAAATTTCAGTGTTTCTTAAAAAGTTGCTCTGCCTCGACAGGCAAGTAATGGCTCCAGCACAGGATACACTGAGGCTCAGCTGTGGGGACTGCATGGCAGTGACATAAAGTAATGTCTGGCAATTCCAAGCGCATCCTACGTGTCACACATCAGTGAATTTGTAGGTCTGCGGCAAAAGCAGCTCCATTACTTCCTAGTCCTGCTAAAACATCTGTGCATTTTAGTGCATCTGCTCACCTGCATTAATTATTTACAAAGGATAATGTTGTGGAGCCACTAGAACGACAAGACTATTTAAAACAGGAAGCACCAGGAACAGGATACCCAAAGTCATCTCCACCAGTATCCACACTTCTCACCTCAGCACAGAATGTTATTTAAATTATTCTATGGGGCCACACAGAATTATTTCTGATGTTCCATCCCCATTCCTACTGTGAATGCCGAGAGATTTAGAAAAATGTACCTTTATATGCACACATGAAATAGAAGTCAGTCATCATCTTCTTTTCCACAGCCAGAATTTAGGGCTCTAGAACACAAATGTCAAAGCTCTGATCATTTTGAGTGTCCAGTTTGGGATACATTGTTTGATTTTTTTTTTCCCCCCAGCACCTTCTATATCAAAACACAGCCCTCCTTGACCTCACCTCAAATTTGGGCATCAACAAGCAGAGCTCAACTGATTACTCAAGCTGGGCACTCAGACACAGGCCAGCCATAAAAACCCCTGACTTCTCCTCATGTCACAAACTGTGACCTCAGGCAGGGATAAATTCAATTTTCCCAGGAGCATTCACCTCTTCAAGCCCAACCTTTTTATTCCTTCAGCTCCTGATCACCAATAAATGGCACTGAGAGTTAAAACAATCTTTGTATGCATTAGTAAGCCTTAGCCACTGGACAGAAAGGTCATTCTTGGCTAAACATCTGCGGTTGGTATGCACTTTGTAGCTGGAGAGGTAAAAACACAGGCCTTGCCAGAACATTCCTTAGCTTCTGGCAGCCAAGGGAATGGGCTGTGACTTGTAAGGGACAACCTTCACTGTGCATTTCCATCACTTTGGATCCCTGGTCCACTGATTGGTGGGATTAAAAAAATATGTATAAATAAATAAAAGACTTGCTGCCTGATCCCTCCAGCTGCTGTGCTCACTGCATCATTCAGGAAAACCTCAAAGCTGTTCAATGGTCATTTTTTTTTAGAAACTGTTATCCCTGGTTATGAAATAATTGTGGCATCAAGTTCAGTAAAACTGACAGTGAAAAAAAAAAAAAAGAAAGAAAGTGCAAGGTAATTACACCATGAGGAGGAAAACAGGCAAAGGAGGAAAAAACAAAAAAAAAGAAAGAAACCCCAAACATAGTTCTGTGATGCCCAAATTACAGAGGACTGGCTTCCCACATCTTGTGTTGACAGTGAGAACCCATGTCCCCCAGAAAAGGGGGTGTTTCCAACATCTCTCCCCTGCTCAGCTTCTCAGCTGAATCTGAGTACATGCAGCCTTTCTTTCTGTAAGGGATCTTACACAGCTGTAATTTAAGAATTGCTCCCCTAATTTCTCAAAACTTACAAGAACTCCGTTTCTGCCCAACATTTCTGCAACCCACTCAAACCTGCCTGAAGTTGGCCAGTGCTTTGGCCAAGGGCTCGTCCCCACAGCACAGACTGACAGTTTGATTTCACAAAGCCTCACTTGCTGGGGAAATGAAGCTAAAGGTGATAAATAGGTGTGTGTAAATTGCTGCCTCGAGTTCCCTTTGCAGCCTCCAAGCAGGCTCCCCGTGGCTCCAAAAGCACTTATCCCCCATCTTTTCTGATTATATCAGCGAGGCACCCAGAGATTAGTCAAAGCAACGTTCTTCCTCTCCTAGCAACTAATTTAAGGCTTTTGAATATATTGCAGCCTCTTTTAGGTCCAAACCTTTCTATTTTGGGACTTCCAATTCAAATTTGCCTAATAGCTTTGCATAATAGTCCCTTGCTCCCAATAAATTCCTCATTTTAACTTTAATTGGTTTGCTCAGGAAGAATCACAATTTACACAAGGTGAAGGGGAGATATATCACTAGCTAATACTGAGCATAAGTAATATTTGATTAAATAGAATGAGATACTAATTTTTTTTCCCCCTCAGCATTTGTTAATGATGTTGCCAAATTCTACAAGTGGATAAAGTATATTTACACCACAATCAATTAGATGTGTTTGGAATAAGTATTAAAACCAATGTGAGTTTAGTGTCCTCTTAAATCTACATTTTAACATTTTTTAAACATTTTTTAAAGGTTAGCCAATTGTTCTCCAGTGCAAACTAATCAAAAGGCATAGGCTGGTTCTGGGGAAGGTGATGAAAGCAACAAGTGCAACCACAAGAAATCAAATCACTTGAAGAGCTGCGATACCGAAGTATAAATCACCTTCAATGATTTCAAAGTCTCAGTCTCAAAATAAAGAATTGTGTCATTTTACTCAGCTGGGGAAAAAGCACAGGACAGCTCTGAAGGAGCCTGGGAGAGAGAGGGAGGGAGGGGAGCTGGAGTTTGGAGGGGATACTAAGAAACCTTCTGGGAACACTTTGTGAAAGAAACGGATACTGTAAAGCAGCATGAAAATGCCTCAACTTGAAACCCTCACGCTTTGGAACAAATGATTTTAAATGTAACTGTGAGCACCTTAGGAAGCTTCACAAAAGCAAGGAAAAAAAATTTGCATTTTTTTTTTTTCTTTTCCAAGTATCAACTATTTCAAAGTCATTACAATTCCTTCCTGGGTGTCTAATGCATCATTTTGAACACTTTGGTCTTCAAATGGAGAGAAAGGCATTCTGATAAATTAAAATATAACAAACAGGTATTTGAAATACACTTAGTTAAATCATACCAGCTTGTGGTACTGACTATTAATTACTGGTATATGTAGAATGTTGGAATATGAATTTTGTTTAAAGCTTCTTTGATGTAGTTTTCCCTTTAAGGCCAGAATAATGCCTATGAAAAAAACATGGATTAATTAGATATTTTTAGAAAATATAACTTGGGAGTACATATTTGATTTTTTTTTTTTAATTATTATTACTAGTCCTAGTTTTAACTTGAGTCTTGGTTGGGTTTTGTTTTTCTGTGCCTGAATTGCGTGGCCTGGGCTGGGCTCTGGGAGAGGGAAAGGCCAAGAGCAGTGAAGGCCATGACACAGCACCCAAAACAAACTGTGGTGAGTGGCCTACGAAAAAATAAATTATTCTGATGAGTAGGTTTAGATTGACTCTTGAGGGAAACATTCTTCCCCCTGAGGGTGGGGAGGCCCTGGCACAGGTTGCCCAGAGAAGCTGTGGCTGCCCCATCCCTGGAATTGTCCAAGGCCAGGTTGGATGGAACTTTCAGCAGCCTGGGCTGGTGGAAGGTGTCCCTGGGGGGTTGGAATGAGATGAGTTTTAAGGTCCCTTCCAACCCAGGCCATTCAATGATTTTAGGAAGGCTGTAAGTGCCTCAGGTGCTCGGCTACAAGAACAGGCTCTCTGGGGCTTTGCCGTCCCCTCAGCCCCAGGCGGTGCTGGCTGTGCCACATGGACCGCGTTCTGAGTGTCACCCCTGCTGTCACACCCCCACTGCCACACCCCCCGTGTCACACCCACCCCATGTCACACCCCCCGTGTCACACACCCTCCTATTCATCCCCTTCCCCTCACACAGACCCCATTCTCGAGGCCCCCTCCACCTGCTCCGGGGAATGAGGGGATGAGGATGTGGGGATACAGGGATGTGGGAGCGAGGGGATGTGGGGCTGGGGGGATGATGTGAGGATGTGGGGATGTGGAGATTTGGGGATGTGGAGATTTGGGGATGTGGAGATTTGGAGACGTGAGGTGCGGGGACGCGGGGAGGTGAGGAGGTGGGGATGCGGGGCTCCGAGGACGCGTGGATGGAGGGGGCGGGCGGGGAAGCATCGCCCCGCTCCGGACGGACGCTGCGGGCACCCAATGCGCTCCGGCGCCGCCGCCCCGGAGGGAGGGCAGAGCCCCGCGCTCGGACCCAATGAGGCCGCGCCCGGAGCGGGACTTCCTTCGGGATCCCGCGGCAGGAGCCGCGGCGGAGCTGGAGGGGGGGACACGTAAGTGCGGGGGGCCGGGGAGGTGCCTTTGTTCCCGCATCCCGCGGTGGTGCCAGCGCCGCCCCGGCCCGGGCCGCGGGGACCGGGGCAGGGACACGGGGCATCCCCAGCATGAGCCCCGCTCCTGCCCGCGCCCGGCAGCCCGCCCGGGGCAACGCGGCGGTGCCCAGGGGCTGAGGCTGCTCGGCCGGCCCCGCCTCCCTCCCTCCGTCCCTCCTTCCTCCTCTTCCTCCTCCTCCCGGGGCCTCCGATGCCGCCGCCTCCCGCCCGCTGCTGAGCCGTGACGGGCGGGGGCCCCCGGGACCCCGCGGGGGACATGGGCAACGGGATGTGCTCCCGGAAACAGAAGCGGATTTTCCAGAGCCTGCTGCTCCTGACCGTGGTGTTCGGGTTCCTCTACGGGGCGATGCTCTACTACGAGCTGCAGGGCCAGCTCAGGAAGGCTGAGGCCACGGCGCTCAAGTACCAGCAGCATCAGGAGTCCCTCTCGGCTCAGCTACAAGGTACTTGCTCGGCAGGAGCCTCTGCTGCCCTTTCCCGAGGCTTGGGAGCACCTTCCTCCTCCTCCTCCTCCTCGTCCTTCTCCTCCTCTGGGGAGGTCTGGGCTCCAGCTGTCCTACCTCTCCCAAAGTTTTGCTCCCCATGCGTTTCTCCCCCTTCTCTCCCCCCGGCCCTGTGGGGTTGTGATGTCTCACCGTGGGTGGGATCCTAACCGTGCTGAGGTTCTGCCGTGGATTGCGTGACAACTCTCGTTCCCCCTCACTCCCCACACGTTTTATAGTGACTCTTGTTCCCAAAGGACTGCACATCCCTCTGTAGTTCCTGGCATGAATGGAAAAGGCAGGTGGACTGCTTGCTGCCCATCTAGCAGTGCAGACCGTGTCCAGTCTGGGACTTTTGAGTGCTTCAGTGTTGTCACTGAAATGTTAATTTTATGCTGAACGTTCAGCTGCAGTTCCTGGGCAGCATAAACTTAAATAAATTCAGGGAGGAGGAGAGGAGTATCCTAATAAAGCATTTTTGAAAGGGTAATTTAAAAGTGAAGTTCAAATAAGTTATTTGGATACGGCTGATCTATTACTCGCGGTATAACTTGGAATTTCTTGGCTTACAGCTGCCACATAAATACAGGTCCATGTGTATCTTGTTTTAAGGATGCACCAAATTTGTGTGTCCTGTGCTTGAAGGTAAAAGATGCCCATGTGTGGCATCTGCATGTCCAGAAATCAGAAGCAAAGCAGCAAATATATACACGAATCATCAGTGGTCTGGGACGTGCAAGACCTCAGCACCCCTCTGGTTGTCAAGTGCAAGGTTATCGGGTCAGCACGGAGCCCAGAGCCAACTTTCAAAAGAGTTTTACTTCTCAAAAGGGTGTAAAACAAGGATCAGAGGGATCTGCTGTAGCAGCTGTAAGAGCACATAACTTCAGGGTGATCCTCAGCCATCCTCTTCCCTGTGGAAGCACACATTAAAGCATGCCTGGAAGCACACAGTTTGTATGCAGAGAGCACAGAGTTTGGGCTTATGCTGTTAGACTCTTAACAGTGATTTGTTACTTCAATATGTTCAGTCACCATCTGAGACCATCATTACCGAGCATTTCAATTCCAGGCCGTTTCCAGGTAATACCGTGGAAATATCTGCCAGAAACCTTCATTTTTAGTCATGAAAAAGGTGTAAATGTTTGGCTGGGAGATGGGTATGTGGCAGATGGCTAAAGGGCTGCTTTTGCTAGGCTGTATATTTGCCAACAGAATTTGCAGAGGACACAGGAACATCTTGTTCTCGAGCTAAAATCTGACAAGTCGGCTTTTCCTGTTGCTTTGGCTTTACCAAAAAGTTTGTTATGCGCAACAAACTTTATCCTGACACACAGAGGAGAGATTCTCTGGATCAGATATATTAGGTCTGGACTGCTAAGTTTTAACTTTCCGTGTTTGAAACGTTATTTTGAGCAGCCATCACCTATCCAAGCATGTTGATGGAAGCAGCAGGCAATAAGTAGTTGACAAATGTGGTGACAGAGCTGTGCTTTATAGAATTCTCTTGCTTGTTTCAGTGTATCAGTCGAAAATGTTAAATATTGACCTGAATAATCTGATAACATTAATAGATTTCACAATCAATGCAATAAATTCACATGGTTCTGGGATCCAGGCCAGTGTATCAAGGCCTAGCAAGCAGGAGATTTTATCTACGCCAAGTGTGGTAGCAGTAAACCTTGTTTAAAAAAGTAATTATTAGCAAATAAGTCACTGAATGGAGGGGAAAAATATAATGTAACAATAAAAATGGCCCTTTAAACTTTCCTGTGTTATGGAAGTGGCTGTTTTACCTAAGAGAGGGTGAGGCTGAGAGGCCAGAGACACACTCAGTGCAGCTGCCTCACGTCTCTCTGAAGTAAAGGGAAGGTATCTGCCTAAGGACTTCAGAGGATTTGGGAAATAAACTTTTCTTGCCTTTCTCAATGACTCTTTCTGAAGTGGCCCACCCTGTGTAACCACCTGGATTTCTGCAGTAGGAGCTGGTTAGTGAGGAGAACACGGGGAATTCAGAGCCTGTGCCCGACTCACCCAGAGAGACACAAGCAAGGCGTGAACTGGTGGGGTCCCCACACCAATCCCTGTTCTGAACCTTTCCTATTTAACTCTTTGATGTGGAGCAACAGGAAGGAATTGTCTTCAAACAGAGACTTCGAAACAGCCATAAAATGTTGACAGAAAAATCCTGTTTACAGGTGCAGCACCTGACTGCACTTTGAACTTTTGAATTCAAATGACCTGGACTTTAAATCAACAGTGTCCCTGTTGCCAAATAGGAAACTCCTCTAAGAACATCTGAGCTACATCTGTTCTTTGAGTTCATTATTTTATGAGAACAATAAAATAAAGTGGGGCATTACTGATGTAATACAATTTCTATTTCCCATGCAGCATAATCTATAGATCCTGGACTAGAGATAACTTTGGGGCCTGAAGTGTGATGGAAACACTTGGAAATCTTTTAAACAGGAGCCAGTTAAAGGGCAAAGCCAAAGCATTGCCAGGAGGAAAGGAGGGTGCTCTACCAACAGTGGCTGATTTCTTGGTGTTCACAGCTCTTCTGGGTGATTAAATCAGACTTTAAACTCATTACAAGGCTTTAAACTCATTACAAGCTGAGAAGAGAAACATATCCCTGACTTCTACATCCTGAACAACCAATTCATCAGGAAGCTCTTACTGTTTTAAATATAAACTAAAAAAAATGAACTTCTTGAGGAGATGTTTTTGAGGCTCCTGAGGCTGTATGGTGCAGGCTGGCAGTGCTCCTGGAAGTCTGACTGGATTGAAACGCTTGGGTGACAGTGAAATATCACCTGTTAGCTGAGGTTTTGTAGGGTTTTGCTGTGATTGCTTGGTGCCTGCAGAGGCAGTTGCTTTCCTGGTTGTTCTCCTGAGCATCACGGGCAACTCCTAAGTTTATGTGCAGGGTGGCAGTTTGGAACTTGAGTGCCTTTGGTCTGCCCAAAATCTCCAGCCCGATCCTCAGCTGTATCTCAAAGTGCAGCTCCCTTTACTTCCCCCTGTCACCTCTACTGTTTTTCCCAGGTTTTTAGGGTTTTTTTTTCATCTGTGTAGGTAATAAGAACCTTCTTTTTGGTACCTGCCAGTTCTTCATGCCCGAATGGGCTGTGCTTTCTGTTTTTGCTGGAAAAGCCAGTTGACTTAGATTTTTATCTTTTTCATTGCCTTGTTTTGCTCAAACCCAGCATGTGAAACAGGTTCAATACAGGAGTAAACAGCTGTCATCTACCACTTGGGGAACACAATAAGAAATAAGTGGTGTGGAGAAGTTGGAGTCTTAAAACTCACCCCCTTTAGAAGCTCATGTTGTGGAAGGTTTTGTAGAAGAGTACCAAGCTGAGGCTGCTTTTGCAACCCTCAAATGGAATACCAGGGGCAAAATTCAGAGATGGCACGGAATTTTTTGACTGCTGAGGAAAATCTGAAGTCATTGTGATCCGTAAGGTCTTTCACAGAGAAGCTGATCTTCCCAGTAAGATGATTATTTTTTAAATCTCACTCTCCGAGCATTATATGTTTGAAAGGTGAAGATAATCTTGCTTAGGATTTCTTCAAGTGACAAAAGCAAAACTTGGTGCTCTCTGCCTCCTGCCAAGATGTGTCAAACTAAGTCTTGAACAAGTGGCTTTATAGGAAGAGGCTTCAGCTGCTAGAACAGAAACACACTGATGGCTGTGGGGGAACCTGATTGTATCTGTGACCGCTGCAAGATTGAATGTATCTACAAATGTCTTTTTAGCCCTTGCACCTCCTGTCTTCTTGTCCTATAGTGTTAAGTACTATTTTAATCTGTTTAATCTGTTTTAATCCCTATGCCTTATAACAACCTACAGTTAGTGCCTTGTACCACCTTAATTTCCCTGCTGTTCCTCTGGGAATCTGAATGTATTTTGTGTGCCTGCAAACTGCAGAGATGCCAAAGCTGCTCTCAGTGATGCACAGAGAGATGTGGATGTACTCCACTATCACATCCCTCTTTTATAAGACACTATTTAAACTTGTACCTTAAGTTGGCAGAGCCAGGAAGAAACTAACTTTTGGTGGCTTATTTTTCACGTGCGTCACACAAGTAGAGCTGCATCTCCACAGGTCCTGTGTGGTTGGTTGTTCTGCACAATAACAGCCCGAATTCCTGCCATTCCTGCGAGTTTCAGGTTGCAGTAACGTTACAGGGCTTATTTTATTGTGTTTTGCTGCTATCTGAGATCTGGGAGATCCTTAGCAGAGGCTGGTTCTGTGTGTGCTTCAACACCAGGTGCAGGGGCTGCATGAAGTGGCCAATGCACCATCCCAAATTCTGCTGCCTGGCTTCCTGAAATGGGACACTTTGGTTTGTCACCTCCTCAAAGGATCTGCCTTCTGTACTTCCATTCACGTTTTCAATGGGTATTTAATGTTCCAGATTCTTAAAACACAGGATGAAACATTTGAAACTGGGTGAGATTTTAGTGTGGAAGAGCTGTATGCTGTCAGGTGTATTCATATATGCATTTGTAGGCATAAAATGTATCTTTAAAAAGATGTGTCTGTTTGGCAGCTCCACCTGAAGATTTTGGGTTCTTTGGAATTACCAAGGCTGCTTCATAACCTGAATACAGAAAAGGTGCTTGAGTTCTGTTCCACCCAGTTAACTCAGGGAAGTTTGTTTCCAGGTCCACAGTGAGTAAGATTCCCAGCAGCAGAATTCCATGACTGGAAAGATAAATTGAGCAAGTGCCTTTATTTGTATTTGTTTCCTCATTCCTGTAATCTGTGCCTGAGTGCCCTCAAATCACTTTCCCGGTGGGCAGGACACTTCCAGGATGGATTTCTCTCGGCACTGCAATGTTCCATCTGCACCCCGGTTGGAAGCTGGGCTGGAGATCCCAGAGCACAGTCAGAGGGAATGTAAAGCAGTGTGAGGGAACAGGGTGGGTTTGTTCCCTGGGTTTTGC